ACAAATCAGCTGGCTGTGACGATATTCCGGCGGAAATCTATAAGTGTGCAAGTAAAGAACTTATTGGTCATCTTAAGGCTCTCTTTGATGTCGTATGGGAAAGCGGAGAGGTACCTCAGGATTTTCACAATGCGAATATAGTGAATATATTTAAGAACAAAGGAAGTGCATCAGACTGCGGAAATTACCGGGGAATTTCGCTATTGGCTATCGGCGGAAAAATTCTTGCAAAAAATAATGTCAAACCGCCTGCACCCACATATAGAAAAAATTCTTCCAGAATCGCAAACGGGTTTTCGTACCAACCGCGCGGCACAAATCGATTCCATATTTTCCATCCGTCAACTACAGGAAAAAAAAGAGCAGCAGTCTAAACTTTATGTTGCATTCATCGATCTAACAAAAGCCTTCGACTCTGTGAACAGAGATGCGCTTTGGGCAATTATGGAAAAGTTCGGTGTACCCAACAAATTTCTTACAGTGTGTAAAAGCCTCCATAACAACAACAAGTCAAGAGTGTCACATCATGGATCACTGAGCGACCCATTCCTAACAAATACAGGAGTTAGGCAGGGATGTGTCTTAGCGCCTCTCCTATTCAACATATTCATGGCAGCGCTCTCCATTATAGTGGACAGCAAACTGCAGGATGGGCATTAGAAACAGATATGACGGCGGTCTGTTCAACATAAAAAGACTCAGGGCAAAAACACGTACAAAATTTATCACAGAACTTCAATACGCTGACGACTGCGCTCTAGTTGCAAACACGGTACAACAATTACAAGAAATGTTGAACACATATACCTGGGCATACGAGGCTTTGGGCCTTAAGCTGAACATCGGCAAAACTAAAATCATGTGCACTCCCCCCCGGAAGATCACAACAATGCTATAAAAATCGGAGAAGAACTATTCGAATATGTGGCGGAATTCAATTACCTTGGCAGTTTGATTTCGGAAAAGACCAATATTGACTCTGAAATTCAGCACAGGATTAGTAGCGCCTCAAGAGCATTCTGGAAATTAAAAGACAGGGTTTTCTACAATCATGACTTGAGTACAAAAACAAAACTTGCAATATACCGAGCAATTATAATCCCCACCATGATATATGGGAGCGAAACCTGGGTGCCTTACCGCCGACACATGAACGCATTGGACAAGTTGCAACAGAGACACCTTAGACAACTCTTAAGAGTCCGGTGGTTCCATCATGTCTCAAACGTATCGGTCCTTGAAAAATCTAACTGCTAGAGTATTGAAGTCATGGTCACAAAATCCCGCTTAAGATGGGCTGGTCACGTATGCAGAATGCAAGAAAACCGCATACCAAAATCTCTGCTTTACGGTGAGCTTGTGGACGGTAAGAGGAGGCCGGGTGGACAACTGAAAAGATACAAGGACATTTTCCACGAAAATTTGAAGTTTCCACAAAAATTGAAGTCATGGTCACAAAATCCCGCTTAAGATGGGCTGGTCACGTATGCAGAATGCAAGAAAACCGCATACCAAAATCTCTGCTTTACGGTGAGCTTGTGGACGGTAAGAGGAGGCCGGGTGGACAACTGAAAAGATACAAGGACATTTTCCACGAAAATTTAAAGGGAATTAACATGCAGAATGAGTGGGAAAAAGCAGCTCACAATAGAACTCAATGGAGAAGGGTTGTAAACTCAGTTAACAGCGGCAACCAAAAGTAGAGAGGCAACAAAGCAATGAGATTTTTGAATGTCCGGAGTGCGGTAGGCAGATAACATCACGTATCGGGCTTTTCAGTCACAGAAAAGCTCATGAAAGAAAACGCCTTGCGTGACCATTTTCTTTATGTGTGTCGAATACTCGTCAGCGAGTAACGGCTGTATATATATGTATGTATGTATGGATTTTGAAGACTTAGCTTGATTTTCATGCATCCGTTATACGTTGATACGATGGTCCGACGGTGCTCTGATTGGTCATAGCGTTTTCGCGCCACTTTTCATCCGTAAATATTTTACTTCAGCCCGTCAACGGACCCGTTCATACCTTTGAATAAGAAGACTAAGGAGGGAGCATAATGCTATCCATGTATTCATGCATGGTGGGCGGAAAAGGCACCATAAAAGCTCTCTAGGGTGGGGATCCTTGACAGTTCTGTTTGACGATTCATTTGACACATTTGAATTTGATTTGAAATTTTGTGGATTTGTCAGTCTTTACGGAGCTTATTTTATGTTATTTATTATTTATTCTACTACTGATAGTTGTATAAAGGTAGTAAATCTAGATGGAAATTGTGGCAGAACTTAAATTAACAGTGACACTATCGCGATTTATCGAAAAAGACTCTAAAATAGTTGGTTGTGTAGCGTGCGGTAGATCTCGGTTAAAATTGAGTGAAATAATGGTACAACTTTTCGCTAGTAAGTGACTATATAATATACATACGTGTAGTAAACCGATCATTTATGAAATTCACTTAAATTAACTAAATTATATATTTTGCTTGCATTTTAGCTTTTATTTATTACTTGTCAAAGATTAGATGTCAAAGAATTTAGATACGTTAATTTGACTTACCTGCTTCAGTAGCGTATCGGATGTTTGTGTTAATAAATACTTATTATAACTTATCTATTTTTTATTAGAATTATATATTTTATAACAATTTTAATAACTACCAACATTTATTCACAACGTAAAATAAAACAACAAATTATTGAGTCTACCCCACGTCTACCCTACATCATAGTTTTACATTTTTTAAATAAAATTAGAACGACACTGATAAACCGGAATTTAAGTCGGCCATATTTGAGGCCGATCGCGGTGTACCTAAGATTTTTGATATGCTCCTTCCTTAGTCTTCTTATTCAAAGGTTCATACGATAACGGACGTTTTGACACTTTTTTGACAAATCTAATCTAACCTTAATAAAAATATCAGTAAAATAGCAAAATCGTTATGGAAACGAAAATATAAAATAACACCAACGTATATCCGATAAACGGAGGCATGAAAATGCAATACATTTAAAAACTGCATTATTTTCTAACCAATCAAAGTCTTTAAATTCTACCAATAAAATTAATATCGTATCAACGTATCGTCGGACAACGGATGCATGAAAATCAAGCTTTACGAAAAATGCTATTTTATACGACATTTTCCCTAAAATATTAATGCCAACGGGTTGCTTAATACATTTTCCATTTCTGTACCCCACAAAAAATCGAGTATGCTCTGTGTTGCTTGGCCGCATAGCTATATATCTTCGAACCATTTCCACCATATTTATTCCTTCAACATTCCGTTTCGTTATAAAAAAAATCTCGTGATATCTTTGTTTTCGTAAATGGAATAATGACATGAATGCATTGTCCTTCATCTGTAACATTTTGCAGCTGCAGATTTGTTAACTCGATACGCTGGCAGGCTCCGGCAAGTCCCACTATCCACTATCAATGAAACTTTTGTCAGGAAATAAGTTTTATCATCGGCTTTCGGCTTCCCACAAAAAAACGAGTTATGTCTTCTTTTCTTAAAATTCTCGATTTTTTTTGACCGAAATCCTTCCGATTTTCTTTTTAGAAATGCAATTAAATGGACGTACTTACCAATATCTGTATTTCTCTTCACTGATATAACTGAACGTATATAGCATGGAATAACATACCCAAAGTGATGAAGCCTTCCTATGTTTTGAAAGATGTTCAAAATATGCCATGAGAACTTTTTCGTTACTACTATTCTTAATTCCTTTCCCTTTACACCAATCTTCAAGTTTTACATAGGCTTGCTCGTACCTTTGTCTTGATTTTTTGGGAAGTAGGGAATCGACAACGTTTTGCGCAACGCCTTCATATCCGAAGGGACACTTTCAGAATCAGAATCACCCATAATATTATTTTATGCTTTTTGCTAAAACCATGCTAAAACTGAACGTTTAACACAAAATTGAACATCAATAATTGAGTTGGCAAAGTCAAAATGGAAACAAACAACAAGCACGGTTACCACGGCGTCGACTAATATGGGCACCTGATAATTTTGAATTTTAATTTTTATGAGGATATCTCTAATATTTTAAATTAAATCAAATCTCTTTGGATCGACCCTCGTGTCGCGTCGTAGATTAAATTTTGAATAATACACGTTCGGTACGAACTTTTTAATGAAAGTGTAACTAAGCCTTAACGTTACACGCGTTTCATTATGATATTCGTATCGAACTTGTATCATTTATAACTATAAAGGTTGTTTCTTGGATCAAGGCAAGTTAATAAAATTGCGTTTATCTCATCAAGGCGGCCAAAATCGACAAAATATCAAGAGACAACTTTTAATTAGCATTAAACTGCTTACACTATTTTGTTAACAAGAGAAAAAAAACTCAGTGGCGTACATGCTTTTTTTAGAGAAATATTCCAGTGATAACCCATATGCACGTCCCTGGTGAATATGTCGACACTTTTTTAGCTTTAAAATATGTCGCATTTATAGTTATTTTTACCATCAAAATTTCATTCGAAACGGTAAAAGTGTTTGGAAGAAAATTATAATAAATCAAAAGAATATTAAGACTTTAACACCCTGTAGCTACGAAACAAAGCAGAATCGGACCTATATGTTGATATAAAAAAAATCTTATTTTTACGTGAGGTATCTCCCCACGAGAGATGGCACATGTTTTTGAACCACCCTCTATAATAAAAACTCATCGCACCTTGGGTTGGAAACAATAATTTTAAAAATCGCGTCCTCGATTACGTAACTAAAAGTTTAATTGGGATCGAATATAGATAAGTAATACCAGAAAATATTTTGGGGATGGAATTTAATTTCAATTTTGTTTTATCTGTAGAAACTAACACTTATGCCCACTTGCACCGTTTGTATAAACTTTGTTTAAAGGCTAAACAGTGATTAACTATAATAAAATATGTATAGTTAATCACTGTTTAGCCTTTAAACAAAGTTTATACAAACGGTGCAAGTGGGCATTAATGTATTGTAGCACATATTTAACACATTTAATGCGTCTACATAAGGACTTAATATACATGAAACGAAAAGTGAGCCATTTGAAGATGGAAATAGTTAGTCTTTTGAAGGAAAAGTTTGGAAAAGTTGTGGACATAAATGAACTTGAAAGAGCAATATTGCAACGATCATTTCAAAAAAATTACGTCAACGAGTTAGAGGAAGTTTTATTGAAGAAAATGGTTTACGATTTAAGAATTAAAATGACTGACGTCAAAGGGTTATACATAGATGAACTCGAGCATTGGCAGGTAAATTTTTATTAGTAGATGTGTTATCTGTGTTAGTAGTATCTTCCTACGCATGATTTATCTTCTTATACATAAATAATTAATTATGTACTTATATCATTCTAGAATAGTGTTTCAATACAATATATAATCTCGAACGGGACAATTTACAGTCCCTGGATTGTCTTTACAAGAGGAAAAACTTTTTTATTATTGACATTTTGAGAAAAATGCATTCTTCAGAAAAACTTTTGCTTATTCTAAAATAGTTTAATCCCGTTTATACTTTTTCAAATTTCCATACCGTTTAAGAGAAAATTAGGAAAAACATGAAAATATGGTTGAATTTTTTCCTAAAAATCAAAGGGCATTCTTTGATAGATTGTTATTGATCTTTTTATTGATACAATGTTTATTAACGTCATATTTTTTGCAGTTTTAAAATTTAAAAAAGCATAAAATTTATTTACTTCAATACTACTGAAAGGGCTATAATAGGTATCGGAAAATGTGATACTTTAACAACAGCAAAAAATACCACGTTAATCAAAATTAATAATAACCATCAAAGAATGAAATGCAAATTATATTATCATATAAACGCCCTTTGATTTTTAGAACTTCATATGTTTCATATTTTTTTTTTATTTTCTCTAAAACGGTATGGAAATTTGGAAAAGTATAAACGTATATAATTATTGACATTTTGAGATAAATGCATTCTTTATGCACAGTTTAATCTCGTTTATACTTTTTTAATTTTCCATACCGTTTTTGAGAAAATTAGAAAAACATGAAAATATGGTTGAATTTTTTCCTAAAAATCAAAGAGCGTTTCTATGGAAATGTAATTTCGTTTTCATTCTTTGATAGATTGTTATTGAACTTCATGTTTTATGTTTTTTTTAATTTTCTCTAAAACGGTATGGAAATTTGGAAAAGAATAAACGGGATAGCAAAATACCTAGAAAAATACGCTATACCGAGTGCGTCTCAAAAGTGGCTCACCCCTATAACTTTTTTTTATTTTTTCAGTTAAAAAATGAGATTTGGTATGTTAGGATATAACATAAATTAGGAATGATTGACGTATTCAATTATTTTCGGTCACTTCCTCTTTCACCGGAAATAACTACAACTTTTGATTTTTAAATTACACCTTCTGTATTTTTTTACTTTATTCGATAGAAAATAACACTCGGAATAGAACGACATATCATATTATGTCAACTTTTGAAATTTTCGCATATGGTTTATTTGAAATTATAACATGCGGTTCATAACAAAAATGTGACTCAAATATCATGTGTTTGGTATCAAATTATTCGTAAAAAAAATATTTTTCCGAATATGCTAATGAGCCACCCTCGTTCCATTTGAAAAAATTGAGATATGATTAAAAATACGATTTGGGCATCTTTTAACCGGCCAGGACAAGAGACTAGACACATTAGACGATCAAATCTATTTTTTCAAGGCTTATTGATTATAAATTAGTATTTTTAACATAGCCATGGCACTCTAGATTGAAATTTAAAACACGATTTTTTAATAAGCGAAAATATCAAAAGTTGACATATGATATTATGTCATTCTATTCAGAATGTCACTTTTTATCACATAAAATAAAAAAAATACCGAGAGTGCCAATTAAAAATCAAAAGTTGTAGTCATTTCCGGTGAAACAGGAAGTGACCAAAAACAGCTGAATATGCCAATCAATCCTAATTTATGTCATATACTAACATACCAAATCTCGTTTTTTTATCTGAAAAAATAAAAAAGTTATAGGAGTGAGCCACTTTTGACACGCACCTGGTATAGAAAAAATACAAATTTCCTATTGATTGACATAATAGCAATATATAAAATACCTCTCCACCTGCATATTTTATTCTTGAGGAAAATCCTGTTTTCTGACTAGCCATCACAGATGCGCCCTTTTTGCGCGATTTTTCGAACAGATGCGCGATTTTTCGAACTTGAAAATAATTTCCAACGATTTCTCTTAGCCGATTTACTTATTACAATTTTCCTTTAAAGTGATACGATAAGTAGTTTCTGAGATACAGCCATTCTTAGTCGACCACCCGGGACATACCTAAGATGACAGCGATCTTCACTCCATAACCATCGTTGACGCTGTTTTTTTTTCGATCGTATTGTATAACTTCTTTACTAGAATATACACGAAAACAGTTAACTTTGAAATCTGGACACGCGTTTGTCTAACCATGTGGGCTTCATCAGCATATCATTAAAACAAAACTCTAAGACACTTGATTGGCATTCTTTACAAGGGCGTAACTACGAGTATAACGTAAATTAAAGAAGCCCAACAGAACCAGCTTAGCGCAACAATATATTAACGGAAATATATCAACAGTATAAAAGAATAAAAAGGAAAGGAACTCATATGTTCTACCGAGTGTTTTACAAAAGTGGCTCACCCCTATAAGTTTTTTATTTCTTTTTTAATAAAAAATAAAATTTGGCATGTCAGTATATGACATAAATGGGGATTGATTGACGTATTCAATTAGTTTCGGTAACTTTCACTGTTTCATCCAAAGATATTTAAACTCAACTCACCGGAAATGACTACAACTTTTGATTTGTAAATGGTACTCTGGGTGTTTTTGTTTTGCTTTATTGGACAGAAAATGACATTTTGAAAATAATTACATTTCATATTATGTCAACTTTTCAAATTTTTAACTAAAAAAATAACAAATTTGATTGTCTTAGTGTCTTTTCCTGGCCGGTTAAAAAATGCCTAAATCTTATTTTCAATCATAACTCATTTTTTTTACTTGAAACATAAATTGGTACCGCATACTTAATATTTCGAGTGTAATTTCGAGTCAAACCTGGCGTTACATTTACGGCCGTGGCTCTCTAGATTGAGATTTAAAATACTATTTTTTAAGTGAAAATGTGAATGCCATTTTCTATCGAATAACAATAATACCGAGGGTAGCGGTTAAATATCAAGTCATTTCCGGTAGAATCGACCAAAATTAACTGAATACGTCAATCAATCCCTCATTTATATCATAAAAAAACGTACCAAATATCATTCCTTTATCTGAAAAATAAAATAAGATTCAATTTGCGAATAATAACTTACCTTTAATGAAGCTAATGGTTAGTTAGACATTGCGTCCAGAGTAAAGTGTTTTAGTGTATTGGGAGTGTTCTCATACCAAAACTTAGGGGTTATAACTAAAAATTATTTCATTTATAGAGAAAAATTGTACAGTGCCAAATAGACCTGGCCAAGGAGTTGAAAGAAAATACTAAGCGTTTGGAGCTATTAACAGTAATGAATAAAGAGAAAAAAGAACTGGCAAAATTTGTTGATTCTCAGCAAAGGAAAAAAGAAAAACTTCAATATATTGAAACTATACATAAAGATTTTATGAAGGATATGAAAAAACTAGAAGAGATTGCAGCAGATCAGCAACGAACATTACAAGATCTTAGAGAAGAAATAAAATTATTGAAAACCAAAGGTAGCATAATATTCCGATTTTTATAGTATTACAATAAAAAATTGCTCATATAAATATTAGCAACTGTCTCATAACAACTTTACGCGTTGCTGAACCTTTCAATGGCAACCGAATCTTCCTTCTTTCTATTTCGATTTTATTTTGAATTTGGAAAGTGCCCATAAGGACAATGTAAATACTATTTGTCACTCTCCAAGGCTTTTGATAATTTCGGAGCGGTTCGGCTTTTTCCGGAATTATGTCGCCAAATATTATTTATTCAAATTTATTATTATTTTCTATTAATTTTTTAAATAAAATACAGTGTGTTGTATATAAGAAACTCTATTTTATATAAGGAAATGTATGAAATACTTATGAAACTATTTACAAACATTAAACTTATGAAACATTAGAAACCGACGTTATGCCACGATCCACGATGGTTTTTGCAGTTCACAGTTCACACAGCTTTTTAAGTTTTTAATTTTACAATTATCACAGCTTTGAATAAATAAAATATAAATTACACTCACAAGATAGCAATAATTACTTTGCAAATGGATGCTTTAAACGGTTTTCGGTATTTTTTCAATGGGGGCGGTTTAAATTTTGAACTGTGATTTTGAAAGACTTTATAATTTTTGAAGATTCTCACTTTGACAAGAGAAAATTATTTCTGTTCTTGTATGGGAGTTCTTGTTTGCGGTTATTCTTAGCAACCGCTATGGCAGCGCCCTACAGCATATGCGCTCCAAAACAATTATAAGTTTTGGCAGCAAGCCGAGCATTCCAATCTAAACTCGTTTCCTTTATCTATGACTATAATTTGATATTATTAAGGTTTCAACTGACGTTTCCTTTCCTAACAACCATCATCAATGTTATTTTCTTAAATAGGACGCTGAATTTTTTCAGTTTTTTTTAAAGCTTATGAGATCCCAAATACATTGCGGTAGCACACTAGGCTAAACAATATACAGGGTGAGACTTAAATAAATGCAAATATTTTCAGGATTGGTAGATCTCGATAAAAGAAACATATTTTCTATTTACCGTTTTTAAAATAAATCCAAAATAACCGACTAATTTCACTTCGAAAATTTCCAAATAAAAAATATTTTTGCTAAAATTTTGAGAACTACTGGATCTGTTCTGGATTTTCTTTTTTCTAAATTCAATCTACTACCTATGTTGCCATATTATCAAGAAATTATATTTTTTAACTAAAAGCTAAAAAAATCCATGTATAATCAAAAAATTCCAAATTTTCAAATTTTTTTTCGAAAAAAAACTTATAATCGTGTTTCTGGGATCGAAATATACTACCCCTAAAAATATTTGCACTTATTTAAGACTCACCCTGTATAATAAAGAATATTCCCATCGGATAGAGAGTAAGAGTACCGAATCTAGGGGAGGGGAGGGGGCAAACTGAGGCACGTGCCAAGGGCGGCAGTTTCAGGGGGCACCAAAATCATAATATAATTCCTATGGGATTGAAAATAAAAAAAACTTGCTCCACAAAGCACCAAAACCGGACAAGGGGTATGCACTATCAAATATTTGCAACGGTTAAAAAAAATTGTAGATCCGGGACTGATTCCCACAAAATTAATGTATTGGAGAAAGACGGATATAGGTACCACAAATTAACTTAGATAACACACATATAATTAAATAGAGATAAGTAAGTCTGTGGAGATCACTATGATTATGTATTAATCCGGAAAATTCGGTTTTCCGAAATATTTTCGAAAGTAATCGTTATTTATAGATTTTGAAATATAACGATATCCGAAATATCTTCGAAAGTAATCGTTATTTATAGATTTTGAAATATAACGATATAATGTTGTAAGGCGCAACATTTCTTTAATTAAGATGATTAATCTTTGCATCTCTTCTGATTTGCGAAACCCTTGTAGTGTTCATTCTTATAGAAGTAATAATTATTATCTGTATCAAATAAATATTAAAAAGTGTAAACTAGGAATGGCACAGGAGGTGTTAAAACGTAAAGAAACAATAAAAGAACGAGAAAGGACGACTGGTAAACCAGTTTCAAAAACCGAAGAGGAAGAAATAAAACAATGGATTCAGTATGATGAGTATGTCAGTGAACAAGAGACAGAGGACGAGGAAGACAAAGAACAAATTAAAAAACGTATAAGTATACCGGGCTAGTAAGTATAATTTTCTTTCTTTTCAGTTATTTATGTCGATCGTAATTCTACTTAGCATTCAAAATTTTTCAAAAGAAATTCAATAATTAAAACAAATAGACGCCAAAGTATAGTCACCACTTTAGTATATAGTCACCACAAAGTATAGTCACCACTTTCATTATAGACCATAGACCCAATACTACAAATACTTTCTAAATATTAAAAAAATATGAGGAACTTATATAATATAGATCATACCAAATAAACCTTTAGTCACGTGATTAAGCTTTCTTTTAATCAAAATATTTTAGAAAACAAAAATAAATTAATTATAAATATATATAAACAGTTATTATTTACATCAACAAAACTCACCTCCTTAACAGCACTTAAGGGACATAAAGGGCCGTCATTACCGCTTTCCCGTTAAAAATATTTTAATAAGGTTGCGTGCGATGAGTTTTTTTACAACGGCTAATAGGCTATCTTGTACACCTCGCACTAAAAGAGGATTTAAAAAGAACAATATTCGACTGCAAGGTTAGGTCGGTCAAGTTTGCCCCCCGTATTAGAGAAAATTGAAAAATAAATATACCACTATTTTGCACACATTTTGCACAATTTTGCACACCATAAATGATATTTTGCACACTTACCTAAGAGAAACCAGAGCCGTTTTTTAAACGGGGGGCAAACTTGGTCGTTCCCCCCCATTTGTTACGAAATTGATTTATTTCTATGTACATCGATTCGGCTAATTTTGCACACCTATTTTTAAATTTTGCACACCTATTTTTAAATTTTGCACACCCTTTTGACGAAAGTTATAAGGGGTTGAAAATTTGAAATTTCCCCCCATCTGTGACTAAATTGAATTTTGTTTATATCAAATGAATCGTCTAATTTTGCACAATTTTGCACGCCTATTTTTGAATTTTGCACACCATCCTGATTAAAGTTATGAAGGTTTGAAAATTTGCAATTTCCCCCCATCTGTCACGAAATTGAATTTTGTGTATATCAAACGAATCGGCTAATTTTGCACAATTTTGCACAGCTATTTTCGAATTTTGCACACTCTCCTGACAAAAGTTATAAGAATTTGAATATTTGAAATTTGTCCCATTGTGTGTGAAATGTCCCATTTAAAAAAAACATAAGTATGAGCAAAAAATATTATAGTTTTAAGAACTCTCGTGTGGAAGCTTTAGTGATTTGTCATACGGTGGCGCTTTTGAACATAATCGAAGCCTGAAAATGCTAATATTTTAAATTTTGAGGACTACGCGCGGCGATATTTCGTACGGTGTTGCCAAACATATTTTATTTCTTGATATTTAAAGAAATATGTATTGATTATATATTTCGTATATTCGATAGAACATGAGGCATCCTAAGGCTATGAAAAAAAACGTAGCTATGAAAATAAAATTTTAGATTTTTAATTTTTTTTTGTACCTTCTAATAAAAATTACTTCTATTCCAATAAAAAATTAACTAGTATGATTATGTGTTATCTGTGCTAGTATTAGGAAACTGGAGTAAATACGGAGAATATTAATTCGTTCCCTAAGATGAGCACTACTAAGTAATTTTTTAAAATTCGACCCATAAGGGGGTGTAATTAGATAAAGGGATGTAATTATACAAAAAAAAAATCTGTACGTAGGTACAGATTTTTCAGAGGAGTATGAACTTTTGCACAGATGTGGCGCATTTGAACATTGATAAGCGATTTTTGGAAATGTATAGCCTAAGGGTAGTGAAACTGGGGGGTGAAATTTTGTACAAAAAATGTTAGTTCTAGGAGTATGAAATTTTGTACAGAGTTTCCTTAAGTGACGAAAGTGAGTACCTAGAAGCTAATTTTTGACATTCATCCCTTAGAAATAAGGGATAAAAATTTGTACAAAAGGTTAAAATCGGTTTTAGAAGTATGAATTTTGCAGACGTTCCTTATGTAACGTAATTTAGCATTAAGAAGCAATTTTTGGAAATTCGCCCTCTAAGGGTGTGAAATGAGGGGTTGAACGTTCTGGAACAATAAATTCTGTTCAAGGAATATGAGAATTTGCACAGAGGTTCCTTATGTAGCGTAATTGAATAATTAGAGTGATTTTTGGAATTCATTCCTTAAGGGAGTAAAACTAGGGGTGAAAATTTGTACAAAAATTTGTTAAAATCGGTTTTAAAAGTATGATTTTTGCAGACGTTTCTTATGTAACGTAATTTAGCACTAAGAAGCAATTTTTGGAAATTCGCCCTCTAAGGGTGTGAAATGAGGGGTTGAACGTTCTGGAACAATAAATTCTGTTCAAGGAATATGGGAATTTGTACAGAGGTTCCTTATGTAGCGTAATTGAATAATTAGAGTGATTTTTGGAATTCATTCCTTAAGGGGGTAAAACAAGGGGTGAAAATTTGTATAATTTTTTATGTAAAATCCGTTCTAGGACTAGGAGTATGAAATTCTGTTCAGAGGTCCCTTAAATGATGAAAGTGAGTACCTAGAAGCGAATTTTAGGCATGCATCCCCTAAAAATAAGGGATGAAAATTTGTACAAAAATTTTGTTAACATCGGTTTTAGAAGTATGAATTTTGCAGACGTTCCTTATGTAACGTAATTTAGCACTAAGAAGCAATTTTTGGAAATTCGCCCTCTAAGGGTGTGAAATGAGGGGTTGAACGTTCTGGAACAATAAATTCTGTTCAAGGAATATGAGAATTTGCACAGAGGTTCCTTATGTAAGCGTAATTGAATAATTAGAGTGATTTTGGAATTCATTCCTTAAGGGGTAAAACTAGGGGTGAAAATTTGTACAAAAATTTGTTAAAATCGGTTTTAAAAGTATGATTTTTGCAGACGTTTCTTATGTAACGTAATTTAGCACTAAGAAGCAATTTTTGGAAATTCGCCCTCTAAGGGTGTGAAATGAGGGGTTGAACGTTCTGGAACAATAAATTCTGTTCAAGGAATATGAGAATTTGCACAGAGGTTCCTTATGTAGCGTAATTGAATAATTAGAGTGATTTTTGGAATTCATTCCTTAAGGGGGTAAAACTAGGGGTGAAAATTTGTACAAAAATTTGTTAAAATCGGTTTTAGAAGTATGAATTTTGCAGACGTTCCTTATGTAACGTAATTTAGCACTAAGAAGCAATTTTTGGAAATTCGCCCTCTAAGGGTGTGAAATGAGGGGTTGAACGTTCTGGAACAATAAATTCTGTTCAAGGAATATGAGAATTTGCACAGAGGTTCCTTATGTAGCGTAATTGAATAATTAGAGTGATTTTTGGAATTCATTCCTTAAGGGGGTAAAACTAGGTGAAAATTTGTATAATTTTTTATGTAAAATCCGTTCTAGGACTAGGAGTATAAAATTCTGTTCAGAGGTCCCTTAAATGATGAAAGTGAGTACCTAGAAGCGAATTTTAGGCATGCATCCCCTGAAAAATAAGGGATGAAAATTTGTACAAAAATTTGTTAAAATCGGTTGTAGAAGTATGAATTTTGCAGACGTTCCTTATTTAACGTAATTTAGCACTAAGAAGCAATTTTTGGAAATTCGCCCTCTAAGGGTGTGAAATGAGGGGTTGAACGTTCTGGAACAATAAATTCTGTTCAAGGAATATGATGATGATTATATATGATGATTTGCACAGAGGTTTATTATGTAGCGTAATTGAATAATTAGAGCGATTTTTGGAATTCATTCCTTAAGGGGGTAAAACTAAGGGTAAAAATTTTTATGTAAAATCCGTTCTAGGACTAGGAGTATGCAATTTTGTACAGAGGTCCCTTAAGTGATGAAAGTGTGTACCCAGAAGAAAATTTTGGACATGCACCCCCTAAAAAAATAAGCACTCCCTATAAAACAATTAAAATAAAAAATTTGTCTAAAAAATAAAAAAAAAGTTGGGGTGGGCCACTCTTATCACCTAGGGGTATAAAAAATAGATAACAACCTAGGAATAGGTTGTGACCAAACCAAACCAAACCAGACCTACTGAATATACATATAAAATTTCATCAAAATCGGTCTAGCCGTTTCGGAGATGGTAACAAAAAATTAAAAAAAAAACAACCCCTATTAAAATATAGGGGATGATGGTGGAACGGTGAAAATTTAGGGTTATATGTATTTATTAATGCCAACTAAAAAAATAAAAACATTTTTTTCTTTTCAAAAAATAAAAAATGAGGGTGAGCTACCCTTACCACATAAGGGTATAAAAAATAGATAACAACCTATTCTTAGACGTACTGAATATACATATAAAATTTCATCAAAATCGGCCAAGCCGTTTCGGAGATGGCAACAAAAAAAAATATAAAAACAAACCCTATTAAAAATAGGGGATGATAGCAGAACGGTGAAAATTTAGGGTTGTTTGTATTTCTTAATGCCAAATAAAAAAATAAAAACATTTTTTTCTTTTCAAAAACTAAAAAAATGAGGGTGGGCTACCCTCTCGGCTACCCTTATCAGTTAAGGGTATAAAAATAGATAACAACCTATTCTTAGACGTACTGAATATACATATAAAATTTTATCAAAATCGGTCAAGCCGTTTCGGAGATGGTAACAAAAAATTAAAAAACAACCCCTATTAAAAAATAGGGGATGAAGGTAGAACGGTGAAAATTTAGGGTTGTTTGTATTTTTTAATGCCAAATAAAAAAAAAAAATTCACAAAATAAAAAAATTGGGGTGGACTACCCTTATCACTTAAGGGCGAGGGGTGTCTCACTTGGGTAAAAAATGTACATGTACTGCCAAAATATCATCTTTCTACCAAACGACTGCCAATCACAGCCAAGAAGACTGCCTATGACAGCCATGTAATTATTATAGGTGACTACCGTAAGACTGCCAATGACTGCCAGCGACTGCCAGCGACTGCCAAGAAAATGTACATGTAATTCCAGTAGTGAGACACCCCTCGCTTAAGGGTATAAAAAATATATAACTACCTATTCTCAGACCTACTGAATATACATATAAAATTTCATCAAAATCGGTCAAGCCGTTTCGGAGGAGTACGGTAACCAAAACCACCCAAAACTGTAACACGGGAATTATATAGATAATATTATATGAAAACTGCGGAGTGCGAAGAGCGGAGAGCGGAGAGCGGAAAGACTGATTATAGCAATAGATGAAATTTAAAACTATAATTTAAAACTATTCAAGAAAGTACACACAAAACAAGGCAACGCCGCGCGTCTGTTCGTTCTGTTGGGGACCCGTGTGAACTCGACCTAACCTAACTATATGTCCCGCCCTCAGATGACCTTAACATCGCATTAAAGAATAGATCGGACTCAGATTCTGACGAGACATTCCGAAAATTGAAGAAGGCCCTGACTAGTGCGCCCATACTTAGCTACCCTCTTGGCAACGGAAACTTTATATTGGATACCGACGCTAGCAATGTTGCGTTAGGCGCTGTTCTGTCTCAGATCCAGGATGGTCAAGAAAAAGTAATTGGTTATTTTAGTAAGACCTTGTCAAAACTGGAAAGGAACTACTGCGTGACCAGACGAGAATTACTAGCCGTAGTTAAAGCAGTGGAACACTTCTACAAGTATCTCTATGGAAGAAAGTTCTTGTTAAGAACAGACCATGCTGCTTTGAAATGGCTGTTGCAGTTTAAGAATCCTGAAGGGCAGGTAGCTAGATGGATCGAACGATTACAAGAATTTGACTTCGACACAGAACATCGAGCTGGGGCAATCCATCGAAATGCCGGCGCACTTTCCAGAAGACCTTGCGATAAGGACTGTAAGCATTGTTCCCGAGCAGAAGAGAAAGAAGCGAAACTCGTAAGAACAACTGTGGTTAATGATACTTGGCAACCCGAAGATCTTGCAAATGACCAAACCAGTGACCCAGAATTAGGTTTAGTAATTAACTAGAAAAATGCAGACCTAAGACCAACGTGGGAAGAAGTTTGCAGATATTCGCCGAACGTAAAGTCGTACTGGGCTCAGTGGAATTCCTTGGTAATAGATAACGGACTACTTCGCCGTGTGATCGAGAGACCGGAGGGACAAGAAGAGAGAAGGCAGATCGTCATTCCAAAGAAGAGGATCCCGGAAGTCTTGGAGGAAGTTCACAATGGAACCAGCGGTGGACATCTCGGTGTTACCAAGACACTTGCAAGCTGCGGGAACGGTTCTATTGGGTGAACTGCAAAGGAGATGTGAGGAAATGGTGCAAGAAATGTGACGTTTGCGCCGCCATCAATGGACCACAAAAGCGCGGTAAAGCCCCAATGCGCCAGTACAATGTAGGCAGTCCCTTCGAACGAATAGCGATCGACGTGGTTGGTCCTTTCCCAGAGTCGAACGATGTCAACAAATATATTGTGGTAGTAATGGATTACTCCGCAAATGGGTCGAGGCCTACGCGTTGCCAAATCAAGAAGCGTCCACGATTGCTGATGCCCTTGTTAAAGAATGGATCTGCAGGTTTGGTGTTCCCATGGAGCTTCATTCAGATCAGGGAAGAAACTTTGAGTCCAATCTGTTCCAAGGCGTCTGTGAAGTCCTGAACATCCGCAAAACCAGGACGACTGCTCTACATCCACAATCCGATGGGATGGTTGAACGCATGAACAGAACTATCAACCGTTATCTGGCCAAAGTAGTCTCTGACCACCAAAGAGACTGGGACAAATTTCTTCACCTGTTCCTGTTGGCCTACCGTTCATCCCTCCAAGAATCTACGGGGCAAACTCCAGCCAGCATCGTTATGGGACGGGAAGTGCGCCTACCCTGTGATCTGAAATTTGGTTGCCGACCGGGAGAAGAAGTCGCCGGAGAAGATTATGTCCACACACTACGTCAAAGGATCGACGACATTCATCAGAGAGTCCGCCTCAATATTCAAAGTGCTAGTGATCGAATGAAGGAACACTACGACATTCAAGCTGAGCATGGAGGATACCAACCAGGGAAGTTGGTGTGGCTATACAACCCGCAGAGACGTCGTGGCTTATCTCAGTGTTGCCAACCAGAAAACTACGAATATCGCTACGTCACTACACAAATTCCGCTACTCCCCGCTACGGTCGTGTCATTTCTAATTTCACTACAAATCTAGTCTATTTTGGAATTATGATTTATATAGATACCATTTGGCAATTGATTTTTTTCAATATAAAAAAAATTACAGCAAAATAAGCACTTTTATTTTGTAAACATATAAATATAAACAATAAATCACAAATAAATCCTTATCTGGAAAAATGGAAAATAAATCAAAAATATATTTTCTCTTTAAAAGATAAACATACACTTAAATTAACTAACTCTAATCGTGCTCTAATCTGAATCAGACGTGTCAGTGTCACAAACATTTTCTTTGGGGGCGGTGGACCTAGTTGCCTCATTTTTGGTTTTAAATTGGTACATGAACTGATTAAATTTTTGAAAATGGCTTTCGCTAATTGCATAACTCGTGCAGCATTTATTTTTGGTTGCTAAATCAATTTTTACTCTGAGAATATCACTCAGAGTATCAGGTGAAAGGCGATTTCTTTTTTTTGACTTAACATCAGTCATTATTGAAAACACTCTTTCCACGTCCGCGTTGCCGTGAGTTAAAGTAAGGATGATCAGAGCAACTATGCTGATATTTCTAAATAAATGCTCATCGTTAAAATTTTTCATGTCCAACAAAGTTGTCCAGAACGTAATTACATCATCGCATGTTAGACTTTCTTTTTCTTCTTCAGAAAAATATATTTTTATATTATTATATTCAGTTATAGCTTTTACGGGGTCTATTTTATTTTTAAATGTGTTACAAATTTCATCAATATCATGTTTTAGATTTACATTCAGAGCATTTTGCGGTTGTACAAATGTAATATTTTTATAAAATTTATCTTTAGTAGGCAATCTTTTAAATGCTTGGGCAACGGCTACTTGATAAAATTTCAAACACTTAAGTTTAAATTGTTCGTTATCAGCTTTGATACAATCTTTGAGTAAATTCATGGTATTCAAACCCACATTAATTTCTTCCACCGGAAGCAACACATTTGGATCAAATACATTTAATAGATCAAGTTCAACCTCACTCGTATAACAGGAGGGTTTGACAAAGTTTACACATAGTATCTTCACAAATCTTCTACTCTCTACATACATTTTATCTACAAGGACTTTGGAAGACTGAAACATAGCATTAAATGAATTAAAGATCGGAAGAACGTGTTTTAAAAATAGAAGATAAGCTTTGACATAGGGATTTTGCATTTCATTAAATATCATATTGCCTACTTGATTTTTATCTTCAAAGGCAGCTACTCGGAAGACTTCTAAAAGAACATCCCACTGATCAATTAGCCTTTCAACACAATTTGATAGTGCCAACCATCTGGTTTTGCTGGGGCTTATAATTTTAAGTTGAGCTGCCCGCATAAATTGTTGAAATTCTTCTAAAACTGACTGTCTCTTTGGACTTCTAGAAAAATAATTGGAGATATTTTGCAATAATGCTTCTATATTACTTGGCAATTCTTGGCTAGCGGCAGCAGCAATTAAATGAGCCGAGTGACACACACATCCATTTACAACAATATGGTGATTTTCGTTTAAGAGATAAGTCTTAAATGATTCTTTGTTCCCCATCATGACACTGGCGTTATCAGAGCAATAACCCACAATATTATTCACGCTTAAATTAAAATCAGTCAGACATTTTTTAAACAGGGAATAGAGACCTTTTGCTGACCCCTCATCAGCCTTGATGGGAATTAAGTCTAATAATTCGGTTTTGATTTTGTTTTCATAAATATATCTAACTAAAATACACAGGTACCGATAATTGCTGATGTCTGTACTTTCATCTACAAGAATAGAAAAACTGTTATTCTTCAGTTCACCACACAATGCCTCTTTAATTGTAGATGCAAGTACGTTTTTTAAAATGCTTGTGCATTTTGTACGCCTTAATTGCATATTTTTTGCGATTTTCGAATCACTAAAACTTAATTTACAAGTGTCGGTTACATGGTCAATAGAACTAAAACTAAAATTATGAGATGCAGCTAACAAAGTAAATCTGATATCTGCTATTATTAGATTTTTATCTTGTTTAGAAGACTGAAATATTTCAGTAATTGGTCTAGTTATTTGCGTTAAGTTCATATTTTTTAAATGTTTCTGACTTTTCCCATGGCTTAACAAATCACTTCTTTTGGTCCCTAAATTCAACTGGCATACTTTACACTTAGCTTTAGCTGGATCTTCAGTTGGTAGTAGCCATCGCTTAAAAATATCTTCTTCCATCCACTTTCTGGAAAAAAGTTGTTTTCGGCTTTTCTTTTCATCTCTGGCCAGTTCGTGCCTCATTGCCCTTTTCTTTTTCGGAGTAGATGATCCGCTTTTTCCTATATCAGAATCAGATAACTCAGACATATTGCGCCCCTGAAATGAGTGCAAATTATGTAATTTTTTATTGTGGTATTTATGCATATTTAGATATGTATTCTGCTTGAATGCATGTATATATGTATAAATCATATTAGCATACCTTTTTATAATACTAAATACACGTACAACCTACATTGCTTTTGTTTTGTTTACTTTAAAAGATTTTGGGAACCACCGAGAACTAGTAAATAGCGATCAGCGCACTAGAGCCTAGAGCCCTCTACCGCTCCCGGCGCTCTCTAACACATTTTACCTGGCACGCCACAGTGCCGGTTGATTGATTGATTGATAGATGTCGCTGCCTTGTTGATTTGAGTTTTAGTTAATAATAAATAAGATTAATATATAATAAAACACATAACTTCTTACTGCTCATAATACTTATGATAAATAATCTGTTTTAGAATGTTGACGTCATTACACGCGTCTAAGAGAATTAAAATATTCCGCTACGTCTTACTGTCATTTGGTTCCGCCGCCGCTACACCGCTCTTGACGGTAAATTCCGCTATGCGTAGCGGAATTCCGCTACGGTTGGCAACACTGGCTTATCTCCGAAGCTACAATCCTCGTGGGAAGGACCATACGAAGTCATGGATAGGATTAATGACGTCGTATACCGTATCAGAAAATTGCCAAAAGGAAAACCGAGGGTAGTCCATTTCAACCGTTTGAGCCCCTACCAAGGCGAAATAGAAGATCGTGCTGGGACCGTGAGAACCTGCAGCTTTGATCCCCCTGATTCGGAGATGTCCTTTGACGATTTCATGGCACGATACAACAGCAGTGAGAAGGCTCGCTATGGTGTAACCAAAGAAGATCAACGAGACCTCTTTTCCGTGCCTCCTGATTATTCGCTCGCTCATTGTGTGGCCCTGAGATTTGCGGATGTCCAGAGGAATCGCTGCGACGTTCAATGAGAAGTTTGGGCGTGTCGGAGAACTACGCCGACAGGATCCAGAGGTTGGGAGCGTCTTGAGGCTAACTCGACAATGAACATGGTCAAGCAAGGCACATTTTCTACCTAGTCACCAAGGAATGGTCCCCGAGTAAGCCGACTTATCTCAAATCTATGAAGACCCTGATTGAACTGAGAGAAGCCCCAGCTAAACAACAACATTGCACGATTAGCCATTCCGAAGCTGGCGTGTGGACTCGATGGTTTGAGTTGGCGTACAATCCGGAACATGATTGAAGTCTTATTCAGATTTACGGGAATCGAGATCCTCGTTTGCTCCTACAACCCAAAGCTGAGATCGGGAGAGAAAACTGTAGACTGCTATTTCTACCAGACTTCGCAATGTACCAGGGGCCAGCTTTGCAAATACCTTCATTCACCGTGTACATCTCGGGACGAGCATGTGCCTAAGAAGGGGGCAGTGTTGCGGACCCGTGTGAACTCGACCTAACCTAACTATATGTCCCGCCCTCAGATGACCTTAACATCGCATTAAAGAATAGACACGGTAATGATTCATTGGTTCGAGAAGAATCGAGTCCCACTGGAATGGACTAGTACATACGAGAACATTCGAAAACCTTCTCTACGCACCTAACGATCTATGGACTATTCTAGTGTTCTTTACCTGTCGGTATAAAAGCCGGCGGCTGTGGCCTACAGAGGGTTATAAATAAACAGTACAGTTGACGCGCTAAAGTTCAAAATAAATTCTTAGTTATAAATCGTTTGTAAATAGTTCTATAAGTCTTTTATCGTTATTGTTTTTGTTAATTAGTGTTAAATAAATAGTGTTTAAATAAATTGTGACTTTCTATCCACACGGAACCGACGAAAAACGTAACAGTTCAATCCCGAGCAAAATAGCGAGGCCCCACGAAGTTGGGGCCTCGCTCGCCAAAGCGAGGCCCCATCGACAGGTCAGATTTTGATGCGAGACGAGACTTCTAGGGTATTAAGATATTCTTTGGTATGAGTCATATTTCGAAAGTGATAGATCTCAGTGACGTGAAAAACTCCACGAAACTTAGATTTCACCTTTTCGATAATTTATAGCTTGCATAGAAGAACATATTTATGAAACTAAGATTCTACACACAGATTTGTCCTAGCCCTCTTGTATTTTGCATTTTTCGACAACCCTCATGTCTCGGTTATCCTATAACTTATCGAAAAGGTGAAGTCTGGGTTCCGTACAGTTTTCCACGTGGCTGAGATCTATCATTTTCAAAGATGACTCATACTTATGTTTCTTTAAATGGGACAATTCACACACAATGGGACAAAATTCAAATATTCAAACTTTTATAACTTTTATCAGGAGAGTGTGCAAAATTGTGCAAAATTAGCCAATTTGTTTGATATAAACAAAATTCAATTTCGTAGCTGATGGGGGGGGGGGGAATTGCAAATTTTCAAACCCTCATAACTTTAATCAGGATGGTATGCAAAATTCAAAAACAGGTGTGCAAAATTATCTGATTCGTTTGATATAAACAAAATTTAATTTAGTAACAGATGGGGGGGGGGAATTTCAAAACCCTTTATAACTTTCGTCAGGAGGGTGTGCAAAATTTAAAAATAGGTGTGCAAAATTGTGCAAAATTAGCCGAATCGCGATGTACATAGAAATAAATCAATTTCGTAACAAATGGGGGAAACGGTAAGTTTGCCCCCCCCGTTTAAAAAACTGCTTTGGTTTCTCTTAGGTAAGTGTGCAAAATATCATTTATGGTGTGCAAAATTGTGCAAAATGTGTGGAAAATAATGATATATCTATTTTTGAATTTCCTCTAGTACGGGGGGCAAACTAGACCGACCCCAAGGTTTGCTAGTAAAAAATTTTAAGCTTAAAGTATCACAACACAATTATTGATTTAAACCAAAAACACGTAATACAAAACTAAAGTGTCAAAACGAATGACAATGTCAGGAAATAAACAAATAAATGTGGCAACTTGCCGTTTTTTACAGCAGATTACCACCTGAATCCCCAGCGGGAAATGTAAATTCCACTTAGCCAGCCCGGCGCCGAATATGTCCAAGGTTGGCAACAATGAATATAAAAATCGCGCTCTCGATTACGTAACTAAAAGTTTAATTGGTTTCGCTTATATCTAAATATTTTTTAACACACTATATTACCATTTCAGTTATTCGACGCAAGCCGAAGATATTATTACTGAGTTGGTAGAAAACCTAATGCAGGATGTTGGAGACAGTCTAAAGCAGAGAAGTACCCATATAATGGTTCAGAATATTTTAACTGGAATGATGAAGTGCATTAGTATTCAAGACATTATTGGACAAATACTCGATAATATTCCTATTGAGCTAGATGAAAAACAACGCCAAAGTGTTGGCGATAGTGCAGAAAAGCTATTTATTTTGCAAGAGCCAGTGGTAATGTATAACTTCTTTATAAAAATCAATAACTTATCAATAAAAAAAAACACGCATTGTGTGTTACTGAACATCTTAATTTATCAAAATAACTAATTAAAAAATACATTATCGAGATACGGAATCAATTTCGCCGTAGACTCTAGTTTATAAGACTCTGGTTTATAGGGCACTAGTTTTTACCATAATATACCGGGTGCGTCTCAAAAGTGGCTCACCCCTATAACTTTTTTATTTTTTCAAATGGAACGAGGGTGGCTCATTAGCATATTTTGAAAAAGCATTTTTTTACGAATAATTTGATACCGTACACCTGGTATTTTGAGTCAAATTTTCGTTATGAACCGCATGTTACAATTTCAAATAAACCATATGCGAAAAGGTCAAAAGTTGACATATGATATGTCATTCTATTCAGAGTTTCATTTTCTATCGATAAAGGAAAAAAATACCGAGGGTGCCATTTAAAAATCAAAAGTTGTAGTCATTTCCGGTGAAACAGGAAGTAACAGAAAACAATTGAATATGTCAATCAATCCCAACTTATGTCATATACTAACATACCAAATCTCTTTGTTTTATCTGAAAAAAATAAGTTATAGGTGTGAGCCACTTTTGAGACGTATCATTATTTTAAAATAATAAGTTTTTAATTCATCTTACGGTATTTTTGTTGGAGCATAGTATTCGTTGTTGTCGTAGATAGTATTCCTAACAAGAACACTCTCACAGTACTAAGTTTTGTATGCATTATTTTCCGATGGATCAGTTTTAAACATCATCCATTTTACCAAATATAATACCAAATATAATTTTATGTTTTAAATTTTAGACCAGCGAAGAGCGTATAATGAATTGTGTAAAAGAAATTCTTGATGAAACAATAAGCGAAGTCCTATGTCATGATCCACATTATTTAATACCTACCATAATAGAGAGACTATTAGACGCACTCCCAATAGAAATAATTTCTAGCGAAAAAATAATGGCTGAAATAGGTAACATTAAATTATTTTAAATTCATTGCTCTTAATGCAATCAACTACAACCAATAATAATAATTAAATTGATTATACAGGGTGGTCCGAACTGTATTCCGGAAACTTCGGCAGCATATTCTACACATAAAAATAAATAAAAAAGTTCATATAAATATATGTCCTAAAATGTTTAGTTTCGGAGATACAGGGTGTAAAAGTTTCATTTTTATTTCGATTTTTTCCAAATAATTTCTGAAGTAACGTCAATATTTGGATGAAAATTGGTGTCTGGGGTTTTTTTGACATGAGAAATTTTATTTTGATATCAATATGACTCCTGCTTGTAGGGGGCGCCACCTACATATTTTTTAACTGAGTTTTGAAGAGTAATAACTTTTCGTCCGTACCTGTATAAAACTAATGAGTTTAAAAATATACATTTAAGACGCTTTTTACGTAAAAAATGTCTCTTGGTAAAAATCGCTACGAGTATTGGTTTTCGAGATATTTGGAATCGAAATTATCAATACCTGTCATCATTGACATAATAATAATAATAATAATAATAATATGTGTAATTGAGCACAGTAGAAATGGCAATTGAGCACAGTAGAAATAATACTAATTGTAATATCGGCATGCGGGGTTATGACTGCTAACTTAAGGAAAAATATAGACCGGCTCGGATTGTGTAAAGAACTCAGCAGTCTGATGCAAAAAAGTGTACTCCTCCAAACCTGTACAATAACGAGAAAATTTCTAAATGTGTAGCAGAATAAAATGAAGTTTTTCTCTGCCACATAGTAAATTGAACCAGCATTAGCTGAGAAAGCAAAACCAAAAAAATAATAATAAACTTTATTAACTTTTAGATTAGTACATAAAATAACAGCCTAACATAAATTAAACATGTTGACTAAATAGTTATTAGACTGAGATCATAAATTTGAAAGTTTTTGTGCCAAAAATTCAACAGAAACAGTTTTATCGTCATTTTTTGCAGAAAATTTTATGATTAATTTAAAAAAATTAAAATTTCCCAAATTTATTATTTCAGTGAAATAACTATCTACTCAACGTGCTTATTTTTCGTCAATAATGACATGTATTGACTATTTCCATTCTAAAAATCTTGAGAACGGTTGCTCGTAGCGATTTTTACAAAGAGATATTTTTTTACGTAAAAAGTTCCAGAGATGTATATTTTTTCTCTCGGTAGTTTTATACAGGTATGGACAAAAAGTTATTACGCTTCAAAACAGTTAAAACACATGTAGGTGGCGCCGTCTACCAGTAGGAGTCATATTGACATCAAAATCAAATTTCTCATGTCAGAAAACTTCTAGACACCAATTTTCTTCCAAATATTGACGTTACTTCAGAAATTATTTGGAAAAAATCGAAATATTACGAACTTTTTAACTTATTTTCATCTACAGAATATGCTGCCGAAGTTTCCGGAATACAATTCGGACCACCATGTATAGGGTCAAGTTGTGTAAAAATGAGACTTTTTTTAAAACGTTTAGTTTTTTTTTCTTAGTTACAACCCTTTAAATACAACAGTATTTCTTCTTTAAAAGCATTTGGTGGTAACGAGTAACGAAACTATTGCAAAAGTACAAATATACCAAAAGTACCCCTAAAATAGTCAGTTGGCAGAAAAGTGTGTCTCATATTTAACCCATAAAAAGTCTAAAAATGAGACATGCTGGGTTAAAAAGGAGACAGTCACAAAAGTACGTTTAAAGGCCCTGATATCGCTTATATTAAATGTTGAAGTAAAGGTGAGAGTAGAAAGGTAGAAATTAGACAGAGAAATTTATCTTTTTTATTATAACTCAAATAAAAAAATCTAAACTAATAAAGAACACCTACATATAATTCAAATCAAAATTCAGTAAAATTACACCGCCGCAAAACATTTATAAACTCAAAGTGTAAAACAATTATATTAAATTAAAAATGAAGAAAAATATGTAGTTAATAAGTGACATTAAAATATTAAAAGTGTCACTTAAAGAGTGGAACAAAAAAAAAACTAATATACTAATTAACGAAATAAATATTCCTCAAAATCCATCCAAACCAAAGCAAACCTTGCAAATTTGATGGTGGTAATTTTAAAACAGTGTCTTTCTTTGAAACAGTATTTATCTTAGTAACTAATACAGATTTGATCAATATGAAGAGTTTGTTGGTTGCGTTACATCTCCGCTGCTGACTAACTTAGAAGCCTTTTTAAGATCTTTTTTTATACTTGTTCGATTTCTTTACATTTTTTAATTTAAAAATATACATGGTTTGGGTTACGTACACGTTGTCTCATTTTTACCCCTGTGTACAGGGTGGCGCATCTCATACGCCGCGGAGGCTCCAAGGAGAACGACAGTTTGTATTGAAATAAAATTTTGTGAGCATATGTAGGTTAATTCAGAGGATTTTTTAAAAATATAGAGAGTTCTACAGAGTGTCCCCAAAAAAGTTACATATCAAAGTTGTGTTTTTTGTAACGAAACATCCTATATATTAATTGATTTTCGGATTCTGGGAGAAAAATAAAGGTGAGTTTAATTAGAGAAGTATATGACTAAAATGCAAGGTTATTGACATATTTAACATTTTCTAGAAATAAAGAACAATTTTTAAATTACAATAAAGGCTACCTAAATTGATATTTACCCGGCATAGCCTAATATGTAGTTAAATTAACTATTGTACAATCAAACTAAGTACAAACAAGTACAAATCAAATTAAAACTTGATCCAAAAAGTTATACAGGGTGAGACATAGTTAATATTAAACATTGGTCACCTTTAAAAGCATGTTACTCTTTTATTTTAAATGGAACACCCAGTGTATTATTCCGAAATTCAATGGAGAATTATTCATGTCTCTTCAAAATACTATTAAGGTTGCCTAACAAACAAAAGATTTTCCTAGATATTTTCATTTACATAATTTGATCTGAGAAATCTTTATTTGATAAAATCTAGATGGTTGTGATATATCTGACGTTACTTCAACATAGCTATCTAATTGGTTCAACTTTAACAACTAGTTATCATTTGGTGTCAGTTAAAACAAAAAAATTTCTCAGAAATTTTCCAAAAATGCAAGCTTATCCGACATCAGAGAGAATTGATATGATTCTATTGGTTATCACCAGAGAATAGATACATTAAAGAAATGCTAACTTCATGTTAAAAAATGGAAACAGACGCCACCTGGTGTCGCCTGGCAGTACTAGCTAAATTGAGGGGAATTGGAGGGGCGGGCCTTAAAAAAGGGGAAATTTTTAAAAAAATATTTTTATAAGTATCACTGACTTACTGTTTAAAGTTAACAAACATATTTTTTATTACTTTAATATAATTTAATGTATTAAAAAATATGTCTATTAACTTTACACAGCAAATCAATGATATTATTAAAGGCTTATTATTTTCAGAGAAAATTCATAGTAAATAAATTACACATTAGTAAACAATATCATTTATTTTTTAGAGCTGCGATTTATATTACAATAATATTGAAATATATATATTTTTTTAACAATGAAAAAGAATATCCCGGAACCTGAAAAAGAAAGATGATCAATTAATTACTTAAATTAGTTCAAAATATATTTTGCAAATAACTAGTGAATTGGAAAGATAAACATACTATTAAAAAGACATTTTAGTAGTATATTATCATCTATTTACTGATAATACATAAGTATATAATAGGTAAATAACATGCATAAGGCACTATGATACAACTACCTGTATCATGATAACACACTAATATCACAAAAAATATATGCTACTTTAAATTCCTTTAATGATCTAATGAAACACTATCTAGCCTCAATGCATGCCATTCCAAAGGCAAAAAAAACTGTTATACCAAATAAATATAAGCTGAATAAAACATAAACCAAGCCAATGTGCATAAATAACCAAAAAATGCATCAAAAAATACTTTTATCAGATCATACTAGATCATACCCTTGTTTATATTATGTATTTTATATATCGCACATCCCGTTCAAAAGTTTACTAACTCAAAATAGAGAATATAGAGAACATTGTCAGGAGGAGTAAAAGAAAATTTAAGTTAAGGCAATATGCTCCTTTTTGCATATTAATGGCCAAATAATATAATGTTGATTTAATAAAATTTTACTGGCATCCTTCTGAGGTATAAATCAGATTAAAAGGACATTGTTTTTGTAATAATTGTTTGTTTTGTAAACATTTTTTGAAGACAATACAGTTTTGAACGGGCTGTGCGATATAAACAAGGATCTTACTATTATTTGAGGTTAGAAAGTATTTAAATAATATAAAACATAATCAAAATCATTTTTCATCATAAATTATAGAGGTACTTACGTGTTTTGATATTATTATCAGGAAATAATACGTTTAGTTAAACAGGTACGCTGCCAGGCAAGTTCTATCGGCGGGTCTTTGCAAAAGTTGAAATCTAAAAATACGTTTACATCTTAGTTGTATTTACGAATAAAGTATTTGTGTGTAATTTCTGACTTACCAGTTAACTGAATAATCGCATTAAATACATCCAAATGGTAATTTAATATTGTAAAAAAGCAAAATTGTTTTAAATCACTTGCCAGGACAGCCCGGCCAGCTTCTTTGTTGACAAAATGGCCGCGGTATCATGATTTAAGCAATGTGAGTGACAAAGAAAGCCAATGCCTGGCAGATGTTGCTTTCTTTGTCATTGGTCCTGGCACGTTTAAATTTGACTGTTGCCTGTTTTCCCATACAAGTGACACCCCCGTGGTTATCACACACAGTTGCACACTGCATTCACCAAATAATAGAATACTTAAATGCTTCTGATTTTGTCTAGTCTGGGTTTTTTTATCGACCAACTATTGTCAACAACATGAGAGAAATTAGTGTGTAGCGTTTTATTTTTCTTTTTATAAAATTCCAAGTGTAGCTGCTTGTTGAGGTAGAACTCCACATATGCCTTTTAAAATGAAAAGATCCTTTTGAAAAGACAATCATTTTATGCAGTTAACAGGAAAGGAAGCATTTTGAGCATTTGATTTCATCTAATCAAATCAAATCAAGTTTATTGGTGACAATAATAAATATACACACACGTCAATAATATAAAAATACAAAATTTAGACAATCATTACACATTTGTCACTTAAACATAGATACATTGATAATAAAATGTAAACTTATATAAAAAAAATAAAAACTCATAAATTAAACATTGAAATCACTCAGACATACATTCTCAGAAAAAAACGATTTAAAATCATAAAAGGTCTTTCCCACTAGGTAATTTTTTATCACACATCTAGCTAATTTTTGTCACATAATTATAGGTTTATATCTAGTTTTAATTTTGTGATAATTAAAATATGTTTTAAACGTGTATCTTTTTATTACCGTTGAGTATTTTACTTTACAATCTTTAATTTTTGTTAAATTAACAAAAGGTATATCACACAACCACCTAGATTTTTTTGAAATAATAAAGATCTACTGACGCAAAATCATAAAAAATAAAATATCTAGGAAAATCTCTGTCTGACGGGTAGGCAACCTTAATAATATTTTGAAGATATGTAAATTCCCCATTGAACACCGGAAAAAATATTCAGGGTGTTCCATTTAAAATAAAGCAGTAACTTGCTTTTAAAAGTGACTAATGTTCCATATTAATTTTGTCTCACCCTCTATAACTTTTCGGGTCAAATTTCAGTTTGGTTTATCGTACAATGATTACTGTAATAAATAATAATAATAAACAACGCTTTATTGTACAAAAAGCCAAAATAGCTTCATCGACAAAGCATTTACAAAACAAAAAAGCACAAAAACATATATACAAATAATAAAAAAATGTCATCAATTCAAAAAAAATTGTAATTAAATAGCAGGCTATAGAAGGTCAACTAAAATTTAGGTAGCTCGCATCTTATCGAAATTTAAAATTTACTCTTCATTTTCACAAAATGTGAAATATGTCAAAATCGTTAGATTTTAGGTATATGCTTCTTTAATAAAACTCATCTTTATTTTTTTCCTAAAATCCGAAAATCAATTAATATATAGGGAAATAGAGATTAGAAAAAACACAACTTTGATGTGTAACTCTTTTTGGGGACACCCTATATAATTGTATATATTTTTATAAAATGCTTTCAGTTAACCTACACATGCTGCCAAAATTTCATGTCGATATAAACTACCGTTCTCCTTGGAGCTTCCGCGACGTATGAGAGGCGCCACCCTGTATGTCTCATGTTTACCCTTCCAAAAAAATAGCTTCTCATACCAACAGGACTTAATTTAAACGGACATACCTTTCTAGACCATATACCATAAACTATCTAAGCACGCGACGACGTGTCGAACGCTTACTACTTCATACTGATATCCTCAGACAAAAGTTTATAAGTCAGTTTCAAAAGTTAACAATTATTGTTAAATGTTCCTAACAAGAAAACTGAGTGAATATAAGTTTTCAGTAGTTTTATTTGAATGTCTCATTTTTTACCTAAATATGGCGTGTTTCATTTTTACACCACTTGACCCTAACAGAACAATTTAAAAAAAATATATATTTTAGTTTTGCAAATCAAGGAATCTATACAAGATATACCATTAGATAAACAAGAATTTAGTAAATCACTGGATAGATTACCAAGCGCTGAGAAAAATGAAATTTTAGATGTTGTTAATTTCATCATAGAACAAGTTTATGGTACTGGAATAGATTACTTATACGTTATACCTAAAAAATAGGTATTGTAGTTTTGTTTAATTATGAATTATGTATATTAACAATACATAAATATACACACACAATATAGATAAATAATAGAATTACAATTTTTGTAGACTGTTTTTTTAATAATATACATTAATAAAGAATTAAGTATATAACCAGAGCAGAGAGAATATATTACTCTTCACAGACGACATTCAAGAAATGACAGGAGAATTAATATACAGCGTTCAGGTATTGAAGACGACAATCAGTTTGGGCGTGACGTAACAACCTAGAGTTGTTTGTTCTTGTTCCATTATATTAAAATTATATTCCTTTATTTTAGAACGCTGAATATAATAACATAACAATATCTTTATAATATAGCAACATATGTAGTAGATTAAATTTACAAGAAAGAAGACCCAGAAAAGAACCAGCAGTTTTCAAAATTTAATCGAAAAATCATTTTTTTTTAATTTTCAAAGTAAAATATTCCGTTTTTGAAAAACGATAAAAAGAAAATCGAGATCTACCCGCACCGAAAATAGTTGCACTTATTTAACACTCACTCTATGTATGTGGATATAAGATTATTTCAAAATATAATTCTAGATATACAGAGTGAGTCTTAAACAAGTGCACATATTTTCATCGAATCACAGAGCTAGTAGATTTCGACAACAGAAACATGTTTTCTCTTTCCGTTTTCCAACCAAACCAAACCAATTTACATAATACTCTAACCCAGTTTGTAAATATATGTTATCTCTGGGTTAAAAACATAGCTCAATAATATTTAGAATAAAACTAAAGCAAAAATAACAGCATTCAACGTAATGACATAATGATTGACACAATGTACAAGTATATGTATTACTATGGAGTCACTATGAAGTACATCATAGAATTTTATTTTTATTTATTTACTCAAACTTAAAAATTGGTAGTATTGAGAGAAAGGATAATTATGTTTTATATATTAAATTGATGAGTCGGTCTCTTAATAAAGAAAAGTTATTTATTATTATATTATATCAGTAAAATCATCAGATTGTTGAAGAGCTGTGAAAAGATCTTTTTAGATTGAAAGTAAGGCAAGTGGCGAAAAACGTTTATTTTTCATGGAATCTCTACTATAAATTTTAATGCATTTCAAACATGAAAAATGTCTCTCAACCCAAGTACTTCTAAATGGTGTAGTAACAAACAAAACAAACAATTTGAAAGCCTCTGGAAATATATTTCCAGTATTATTCTCCTTAAATTATACATATTATCAAATCATACATATTATACATATCTATTATTAATATAGTCTGTCCAACGAGAAGATCCTTGACAGTGATAGTTGTGTCTGTCATTTTAATTTCAAAGTAGTTTATTTATTTTACAAAGAAATAAGTTGGTACAACTGGAACGCATAGCAGGATATATTTAAAATTTGATTGACAAGATGACAAGTGATTACTTCAAAATATTGTGAAAAAAACTGTATAAAACTGAAAAAATGTAATTGAGTTATTTTATTTAATAAAAACGGTATGTGTTAATACAAAACAAACAAGAACAAGACACTACATACCAAAAAAATATAAAAAGAACTATTATTTACTTTCAAGCTTTATGAAACTACCCGCATTTATGATTATATTTATCAATATAACTTATGTACAAATACAAATTTGTAATATTCCACAGGAATAAATAAAACAACATAGGTAAATAAAACAAACTATTTTATTAATAATAACACCTACCAAATTTTATACCTTAAAGGTTGATTAATTAACTTTAATCTTAATTCTTTTAAACCAGTAGATAACTTTTGACATTATTTTTCTGCAGTACTAAAATCCATTATTTACCTACCTATCGTGTGATGTCGATATTTATTTTACAGCTACTCCAGTTTTTAGTATGTGTTTAGTTTGATCCTTCTACCATATACGAGATGCACTTATCTACGACGAAATGGTATACAAACTTTATCGATGGCAACTTCATTGGTGTATAAGACTTTCTGCCTGGGCAGCGAGTATTAACAACTGTGATCTGGGTCTACAGTTAATTTTCACTAGATTTTTCCTCCACTTGACTTCAAAAGACACAAAACACACGTAATAATACGAATCAAAATGCATCATCTTCCAAAACGCAGGGTATTTAACAAAAGTTGACACAAAATTATAACCTATAATTTGGCAAGACTTTGACAAGCGTCAAAAATGACAAAAATCTAAAGGCGAGTTCAGGGTGCAGCCACACTATCCTAAAAACGGCGTATCGGCGTAACGGCGTAATGACCTTGAATCGATTTCCAGTAATTCTATTGGCTGAAACATTCATCTGTCAGAAATTTTATCTGTCAAATTCATCTGTCAAAAATTTCAGCCAATAGAATTACTGGAAATCGATTCAAGGTCATTACGCCGTTACGCCGATACGCCGTTTTTAGGATAGTGTGGCTGCACCCTCATACGCATCGGCGTTCGTTTGTCGTTCATCGTTCCGTCAAACCAATAAAATTGAAATACGATCTGTCATTTTTTAAATAAACCAATAAAACTGGTTAAAAACAACAAGACACGACGCATGACGGATTTATATTTAAACCCATCCATAGTTAACTTAAAAATTTTTAGAAACTTTTTTTAGTAAAATAAATAGATTGGTATGGAACGTCATCTGCTTTTCTTCTGTCATCGTCTGTCGAAATCTTACCTGAGAAAAAAACAGAGTATACCTGCAATTTATTCATTAATTTCTGTTGGTCAATAACATTTTTTGTTTGTTAAATCACTATTAAATGTGTTGGAAATGTATCAATCAAGTTTGTTAAATCAGATGTTAAATGCGTTGGACATTTTTTATAGGATTCTTTAAATTTCGGATCCGCAAGAGATAAATAAAAATAATTGAGACATACGAGTACCTATCTGCAAACCTTATTTCTAAATGTATAACAAAATGTTATCTAATATTTCATAAAATAAAATTCGCAAAGATATTTGACTTAGCTGCTTATATTAACATATCAAATTGAAATAACACACTGAGACTTTTCTGTAATATCTGTTGTATCGTCTTCTTGCACCGAATGAAATAATGCGCTTTTTTATTTCGGATTCTTTTATTTCTGTGGCGTGTTCTGAAATACATATATTATATCTTTAAACGTTTTTTGCATTTTCATACAAAAATTTTAAAGGGTACGTATAATGAATCATATGAAAATATCCCCTTAACGAAATGTGATATATCCCCTTATGAAATATCGGGAATATCCCCTTAACTTCTAAGCCTACCGAGCCTCCACGACTTCATGCGAAGGCGATCGGAGATTTCGCCTAAGCCCCGCCTTAATAATACAACTCCGACTTACGTTGCGTCGCTGCCGCACGATGAGTTAGACAGAGACCAAAGACTGCCGTACGTCGTACATCGACTCTGATAGTAGGCGATGTAGAAATCGCCGAACAAAGGCACTCCAACAAATTATTCAAATCAAAATTATTTTGTTTTCTAACACAGCGGCACAGTCAGCGTACGCCAGCTGTAGTGAATATTTTAAGATACAAGACCACAAATATTAAAATAATATTGATTATTAAAACACACTTCCGTGTATTAACCGTATTTTTATGTATTGGCAACATCAATAATAAATAATGTGATGTAATAAACCGCTTAAATTCTGCCAAAATCTTAGGGTAGGCGCCGCCTACCTTGCCTACCCTGACGAGCCGCCACTGGATCTAAATATACCACCCCTAAAAATATGTGCACTTGTTTTAGGCTCGATATGATTATCTTATATTTTAGGAAAGTAATTTTTATGATTTGAGTGTGAGTTGTGTGTTTATCATTGTACCTTCTAATAAAAAAAAATCACCGATCTGTTGACTTGGAAATGACGATCGATGATACTCCCCATTAATTTTACAAAGAACAGTGGTATTAGTTTCCAAGCCAACTCTGACGTCTTTGTTTTTTCGATTATACAGGGTGGGTCTTAAATAAGTGCAAATATTTTTAGGGGTAGTAGTAGCGCACCTCATTCGCCTTGGTTGATTATACGAAAACGGAAAGATGTAGATACAAAATTTTTATAGCTATATGTAGAAAGGCAATGTGCATAATTTAAAATTATTTTGAAATGTATAGGTTGTGTCAGAACTAAGATCCATTACCAAAGTTATATTTTTTCTTATGGAACACCCGGTATTTTATTTCATTTTTGATCCTTGGGCATAAAATAAGGTATTTATTATAAGGGTTCAATATGTTTAAATGCTTTGGTTTTTGAGATATTTGAAGATATTTAAATATGCATGCTATGAGGTGCTCTCAGATAGGTATAGGAATAGGAAACCCTAATATAGTTTGAAAGAGCATTTAAATCTGCTTTGACTTATTTAAAAAATACATAGTGTTGCATTTGAAATAACGAAGTTATGTAAAATAAATATTTAAAATAGACCAGCAATTTTTGATACCCCTGTATACATTTAAGGAAGCAATCAATTTTTTAGTAAAGTTTACTTCTCTGGCTTGAAAGTCAGTACAAGAATTAATTCTGAAAAGTAATGTACACACAATGTGTTGACAAACTGTTTTATTATAGCATGCATATTTAAATACCTTTAAATATCTCAAAAATCAAAGATTTTAAACATATTAAACCCTTACAATAAATGCCTTATTTTATGTCCAAGAATCCAAAAATGAAATAAAATACCGGGTGTTCCATAAGAAAAAATATAACTTTGATATGGATCTTAGTTCTGACACACCCTGTACATTTCAAAATAATTTTAAATTATGCACATTGCCTTCCCACATATTCCCATAAAATATTTTGTTTCTGCATCTTTCCGTTTTCGTATAATCAACCGAGGCGATGAGGTACGCCACCTTGCATTTCGACCCTGGAAACACGATTATGACTGAGGAATGAAAAAAAATCTAAACATATTTTATATCATTTTATATATGGACAATACAGACAGTACTTTTTGCAGTTGATCAACAATATCGTTTGTTTACTTTCTTTCTAACAAAGACAAATACTGATTAAGAAATAACTCTTCCTGTGCCAAGTTAATGTCTAGGTGGTCATCATCTACTATTGAAATGTCTTCCTTTAGCCTTTCAAAAGCTCTTTCTTTTTCTTCTTCCTCTATCTTTCTTTTCTTAATCTGTTCTATGCTTTCTGAACTAACTGAAATGCAAATTTAATAATGAGAAAATATAAAAAATTATAATATTTCAACTGTGGTCATAGTGTTTCAATAAGGTCATCGAAAAGGATAAATCTATTGAACGCTTTATACTACTTCTACTGCTGTCATTACTCGCTGACGAGTATCTGACATGCATCAGAAGATGGTTACGCAAGACATTCAAAAATCTCATTACTTTGTTGCCTCTTTACTTTTCGGTTGTCGTTGTTAACTGACTTTACAATTCTTCTCCATTACGTTCTATTGTGCGCTGCTTCCTGCCACTGGTTCTGCATGCTTATCCCCTTAGATTTTAGTGGAAAATATCCTTGTACCTTTTGAGTCGTCTACTCGGTTTCCTCTTACCGTCTACAAGCTCACCGTAATAAAGATATTTCGGTAGGCGGTTTTCTTGCATCCTGCATACGTGACCAGCCCACTTTAAGGGGGATTTAGTAATCATGACTTCAGCGCTCTCGCAGCTAACTTTTTCAAGGACCGATACGTTTTGAGAGGTGGTGGTACCATTTTATTCTTAACAGTTGTCTAAGTCTCTGTTGCAACTTGTTTAATACGTTCATGTGCCGGAGGTACGGCACCCAGGTTTCGCTTCCATATAACATAGTGGGAATTATTGTTGCTCGGTACACTGCAACCACACTACAAGTTTTGTTTTTGTGCTCGTCATGATTGTAGAAAACCCTATCTTTGACTTTACAAAATACTCTTGAGGCGCTGCTAATTCTGTGTTGAATTTCAGAGTCGATTATTGGCCTTTTCCGAAATCAAACTGCCGAGGTTATTGATTTCCGCTTCATATTGCTTCATATTACAATAGTTCTTCTCCGATTTTTATATCATTGTTGTGATTTTCCGGGGGAGTGCACATGATTTTAAGTTTATCGATATTCAGCTTAAGGCCCAAAGCCTCGTATGCCCAGGTATATGTGTTCAGCATTTCTTATAATTGCTGTAACGTTTTTGCAACTAGAGTGCAGTCATCAGCGTATCTGTATCTAATGCCCTTTCCTATTTTCTGCTGTTTGATGTCCTTTAATTATAGTATAATAGAGAGCGTTGCCATGAATTCGTTGGGGGGGGGGGGAGCTAATACACATCCCTGCCTAACTCCTGTATTTTTTAGGAAGGGACCGCTGAGTGATCCATGATGTGACACTCTTTACTTGTTGTTATGGAGGCTTTTATACTGTAAGAAATTAGTTGGGTACTTCAAACTTTTGCATAATTGCCCAAAGTGCATTTCTCTTTACAAAATCGAAGGCTTTTGTTAGGTCGATGAATGCAACATAAAGTTTACTCTGCTGCTCCTTTACTTTTTCCTATAGTTAGCGGACGGAGGATAAGGATTTAACGGTACCGTCATTCGGGGAGGATTTTTTCTAAATGTAGGTGCAGGCGGTTTGACATAATTTTTGCAAGAACTTTTCCTCCGCCAGCAGTGAAGTTCCCCGGCAGTTTCCTCAATCTGATGCACTTCCTTTGTTCTTAAATATATTATCGCTCCTGCTTTGGAATTCGTTGGAGAGCATTTTGCAGATCTTAGTTAAATTACTCTTATCCTCAACTTTAGCGTCGAGGGTAGGAGCGTAGGAACTAATGATGTTGACGTAAGTTTTATATGATATGGGGTACCTTAGTGTCATAAGACGTTCGGAGACTCCTATGGGTACTTCTGTTAAACTGGTGGCGATTTCGTTTTTGACTGCAATGCCTACGCCATGAATTCGACTGTGTGTTGCAGAGTGACCCTTCCAAAAGGAGGTGTAATGCTCCTCAGTCAGACTACCTTCATATGCAAAGCGAGTTTCGCTAAGAGCGGCAACATCTATATTTAGCTGGTGGAGTTCCTGTGAGACCAGTGCCGTTCTCTCTCTAGTCGATTGGAGTTCGTCTTGTCCAGTAGAGTGCAGGCGTTCCACTATGCTAAAGATGCAAACCCAACCCCCTCCCGGTTCCGATCGAGGGGGCATTTTACCTCTGGATGATGATTTTGTCCCACTCGAACGTTCCATCTTTGGATAAGTGTTAGCTGCGTAAAGAGATTCAGTTGTGACGGTTACGCTGCCGCACAGTTTGGCTGCAACTGTAGCACGATATGGCTATGGCACAGTGGGGACTGAGACTATAGTTCATTTGTGCTACGTTCTCGACCGGCTGGGAGTACTCTACTACTCCATTTCCCCAGAAAGATGGCAGGTCTTGGGTGTATAAGGTTGTACCGCCTATACTCGGACGTAAGAGCATCGTTTGTGTAAATAAGGTGTACCACGTGAAGGTGAGGTTGACTTTTGGGTAAGCTAGGCTATAGCCTAACAGATTATGTATCGACTAAGACGATAGTTTCTTTGTGCTACGTTCTCGACCGGCTAGGAGTACTCTACTACTCCATTTCCCCAGAAAGATGGCAGGTCTAGGGTGTATAAGGCTGTACCGCCTATACTCGGACGTCAGAGCCTCGTTTGTGTAAATAAGGGGTACCACGTGAAGGTGAGGTTGACTTTTGGGTAAGCTAGGCTATAGCCTAACAGATTATGTATTGGTTCAATTCCCCTTACATCCCGAACGCTTTATAAGTGCAATAGCCAATGTATGAAAATGGCATGTCGCGATGATGGAGACGCCCCTTTTAATGCCACCCCTTTATGCGTTGATATGTCCACGAAAATATATATAATCTAGGTTTTAATGCTACACATGAGCCTATCCAGTAGTATAGCTAGCGCTCCAATAAAACATTGGGACAACTGCATGTGGCAACTTCATTTGCTCCGCCTGCTACTCGACTACTAATGGCCAACGACGCGATCTACGACAAGTGATGAAAGACCAATACACCTTGACTACATGACAATGTCCTAATCTGTCCTTGGGCTAACAGTGGCGTAGCTACATCTCCGCTTTTATTTACACCACTGAATCAACAGTACGTTTTAACCACGGACGATAACAGTTAAAGGTTTAGTTAAAGTTAAATACATTAAAACATCTTATTTAAACTCTGAAAGTATGTTTCGCTAACCATGTGAGCATCATCAACAGACGATTAGAACTGAAATAATAATGCTAAAATAGTCAGCTGAAGATACAGCTTCACTTACTATTAAACTCGGATAAGTCACCAGGCACGACACCATCATTAAGTAATAATTCTTCTGCTGATTTCGTTATATCACCATTATGTCTTAGAAGGGCTATTTTAGCCATTCGTGGATCAAATCCGGCCTCGACTAACTAGAATATAAAAAACAGTAATAATTTGTATTGAAAGATAGCATTAAACAAGCTAAATGATTAGTTCACCTGCGGTACTAAATCTTCTATTAATGCTAAAAATTCCATACTTTTAGACTCGCTGGGTCCAGGTACTGGATTCTCCTGTATATGTTGTATGCTGTCTGATATTACATTATTGCATTTTTTCAGAGCAATTCTAGCCACCTCTTTATTATAACCCATATTGACCAAAATTTTCATGAAATTCGGATCAACATATTGTTTCCCATCAGCACATAAGCCAAGTTTTTTTCTCTCTCTAAAAGTTAGAAGTTTGTCAAAATGTTTGTATAAATACATTTAAGTAATTTCTAAAGGCCCCCATACACTTCAGTTATTTTGCTCGGTTTTAACCGTGCAGTTAAAAAGTCGCGGATAGAATTCAGGGGCAAGCAATTTCCATACACTGCCTCATTTTGCCCAGTTTGTTTTATACGCGTCATAGGTAAAAACGATGGATTCGAGAAAGAAACTGTTAGCAGCTGAGGCACTGTTTGCTGTAAAGGAAACCCAAAAAAGAAATGGAAAAAAATGGTACAAAAGTTGGCTACTTAAGCGGCAACAATTTGTGCATATTAATTTATTGAGCTTCCCTCAAAAATCATTACGTTTTTAATTTTTTTGTGGAAACATCCCCTTAAAGAATCAATTCTCTTGATGCTTATCGCAGCTTATGTCCATTACACTTTGTTTGCTCGAGAGTCTAGGTATATCTTGGTATTTTGCTGTTCATTTTAAGAGCACACGGGAAAAACGATGAGTATCCAAAAACGGGGGATTAATGTCCAGAAAAGCGTTTTTTAATAATTCAAACTTTCAATACAATAATTCAAATTCCGACTTCCCGTCAGTTGTTTTTCCCGTGTGCTCTTTAATTTATATATAGTCTGCATATTTAATTTTCAATAAGCATGGTAAAAGGGAAACATAACTCAATAAATCCAATAGTAAATAATTTAGTGTTAGTAGTTGGTTAATAGTCATTTTTGTCGGACGCAAGCACCAAAACAATATATTAATAACTAAAAAGTGTTGACGTCACTGACAAATAAAACTGCGCGGCTTATGTCCATACACTAACGAGTAGGAACCAACAGGTCGAACCGTATAGTTAAAATATCTGGTGAAGACAGATACGGAACGAACAAGTAAAATTGAACTAAACACACTCATACACTAGCGTTTTTAACTGTACAGCCCTGCGGGTCCTGCCCGTCCGGTTAAAACCGGTCAAAAAACCGAAGTGTATGGGGAGCTTAAAAAACACGACACAATTTTTATTACAGTTTACGTAAACATGAACTGTTTATAGTCCAGCTCTAAATCGTACACATAAACTTTCGTGGATAAAGCTGTAAGATATCTGAATAAAAAGATTAAGGATGTAGGATGGAGCATATCAACAAACTTAGGTCGAGCGCCATGGGGGATAAATATGGCTGACTTAAATTTCGTTTTTTAAGTGCTGTTATAATTTTATTTAAAACGTGTGAAAATATAATGTAAGGCAGACTCAATAATTTGCTGGTTTCTAATATAAATAGACAAGTTATAATAATTATTTAATAATAAAAACACTACATACCGAAACACCAAATAAAATTTACGCATCCCAATTATTTTTGACAAGCAGTATATAAAATCATAAATACACGAAGAATATATAAATAATTAGTTGATTCTAAGTTAATTTCATTATTGATTAGTTTACTACATGTAAAGTATATTATGTAGTGACTTACTCGCGAAAAGATATAAACTTTTTTCTCCCAAGTTCTAACGCACGCTACACAACTATTTTAGATTTTTTTTCTGGAATTTGCAATAATAATATAATAATAGCTCCCGTATATAGCGTTTACCGCCTTGGAAGTAGCAATGTACAGCTTTCCATACTAGAGCCGTTCGGTATACAAGGAAGGTAATGTGGCTAGCACTACGCTTCAACCGCCTATTATTACCTCAGGATTGTGAATCCCAAGTACTCATTAAAGGCTTAGTCGACCTAGGTACCCAAACCATTTTTATTTTAATAAAAATAGTCGGCTGGTGAAATGCCGGCTGTAGGATTCGAACCCACAACCTTTGGATTGGTAGACGAGAGCTGTACCTCTACGCCACCGGGTACCCTATTTGCAATAATATCATTGTTAATTTAAGTTCCAACATAATATCCTTCTAAGATTTGCAATAAGACCACTGTTAATTTAAGTTCTGACATAATATTCTTCTAGGATTGGCCTCTGAACAAAACCAATCGTACAATTAATAATAAGTAACATAAAACAAGTCCAGAAAAACCCAAAGAATCTGCAAAATATCAAATGAAATTGAAATGCCAAACAAAACTGTCAAAAATGATAATGTCGTTTCCGCATCTAATGCACGACTATACAAATAATATTAGACTTCTTCCTTAGTCTTTTTATTCAAAATGTAATTTCAATTCTGATTATCAGTATATTATAAAGACATATTTTTCTTCCATTTTTGCAGCACAGTCAGTGTTAGCATTTTTTCTCACTTTTTCTGATAACTTTTTTTTATTTTTGAGTATATAGAATGATATAGAACATGCATTAAAAAAGCGAACTATCCGTATGGTTCTTACTCATCATGTTTTATTATATATTACCAAACATCCCTGGCTGTCAAATGTCACAATTATTGGTATAAAGAATATTTTTTTAAAAGGAACCCCGTGTATTTTTTAAGTGTATTACAATGCACATTTTCTTTCTGATTTCAAAAATATGCCACACATATTCTTGCTTTTTAAAGTTATCAAAATTCGATAAAACTAACATCAATGTTAACATATTGGTCGGATTTAAAAATACGTGGCAACAGTGGCAACGTTGGAACAGTTGACGCGCGCACTATATTCCTACGAGATACGAATCGACACCAGCCGCCGAGCTAAGCGTCCATGTTGAATGTACAAGTTCCTCAATTAGTAAATACAGTCCATATTTAGAAAGTTAGTTTTATTCATTATCATTAGTCAACAAGAGAAAATACCGGTGAAGTTCGTCACCAAACATAATGGTCCTTCGAGCCGGATAGTGGAGAAAAAGCCAGTGTTTCATATGAGAGTTGTTAGAGCTGCATGGCCGGCGTTGCTTTCTTGGTAAGTCTCCGTCCTTTGTTCCATTATAGTTAATGTCCTATTTCTCCTTATAGTATCTCTCTATTTGTGTAAGTAGTTGGTTTCATAAAAAATCGCAGACTAGTGTTATAGATATTTATTATATTAGACATATTTTGAAATTTAGACCAGTAAAAATAATAAATAGAAATTAAAGATTATTAAGTGCGTACCTATAGTTAGTGGGGATTGTAGACATTTTAATTTGTAAATAAGAAACTTTCGAGCAGTATCGTTAATAGAAAAACATTATCCTTTGTCGGCAACTTTCGATGGTACGTCACAACCATCGACGTTCTAATTTATAGAATAAAACATTTTAGTCATCGAGTTTCTAATAGATAGATAGTTTTTTAGATAGTTCTATATTGAGACGTAAGCGTGTTAAGATGAGTCAAAGCTCGGAAGATAGAAATTCGGAACTAGCAAAATTAGTCGTTAGGCGGAATAGAATAAAAGAAACCTTAAATCGGTTTGCAGAATTCGTAGACACGTTTAATTTGAGCCAAATAAAGGAGCTTCAAGTCCGTACCGAAAAAATAGAGCCACTGTTGGACCGATTTGAAGAAATTCAAATAGAAATAGAAATTCTTGACTCTGAAGCAGATGGCAACTTGGAGTATGAAAGCTTCGAATCACAATTCTATTCGTTGTTGGCTACGGCCAAGGGGCACATTTCGCAATATCAATTAAAGGCAGAGCACAATCAGAGTTTAACTAATCCGTCATTAATTCAAAATAGTCAGGGTAGTAGTGGGATAGATAACAACTCGTTCATAGTGGGCGGGGCTAAGCTGCCGAGCTTAGGTTTACCTAAATTTAGGGGTGATTTTGAGAAGTGGTTGCAGTTTTTTGAGGGTTTTCAGACGCTAGTTCACAATAATCCATGTTTGGATAACATACAAAAATTTTATTACTTATTGGATTGCCTGGAAGGCGAGGCCAGAAAAATTTTGGATTGTCTGGAAATAACAAATGACAACTACGAAGTAGCTTTAGACTTATTGAAAAAACGATTTCAAAATAAACCTGTAATTATTAAGAACCATATTAAAGCCCTGGTGGATATGCCGATTGTAAGTAGGGAATCTTCCCAGTTACTAAGAAATTTAAGTGATTCTATTGAAAAGCACATTCGGGCCCTGAAAACATTAGGAGAACCGGTAGACACATGGGATAGATTGCTTATTTTTCTAATGAGCAAGAAATTAGATATAGAAACAAAAAAGGAATGGGAACAAAAAAGCATATCAGATTTTAAAGGTGTTCCACAACTATCTAATTTTATTAATTTTTTAAACAATAAATGTCATATTTTAGAAACTGTTGAGAGTAATACAAAGGGGACTATTAAACAAGGTTATAGCGGTAGTCAAAATTCTCGTGGGGCTTACGCGGCAGTAGGAGGATCCAATGTAAAGTGCGAGTTTTGCAAGGGATCACACTTTGTATACTTTTGTCAAAAATTGTTAGCACTTTCGGTTTCGGAGAGACTCAGGGAAATTAAAAAACTTAAACTCTGTTTCAATTGTTTACGATCTAGTCATACAGCGAGCGAATGTCGGGCAAGTGGTTGTAAAAGGTGTCGGGGTCGGCATAATAGCTTATTACATCTAGAAAAGCAAATAAATCAAAATTTTGGGAACGGACGGTTAGTGAATAAAGATATAGAGTCAGGGAGAAAAAACAAACCGGAAGAAGCGGACACGGTACATGCGTGTGTAGACGGGGTGGAAGCAACAGAGGAGCAGTTCGTAGCTGCAACTTCTTACAGTAATCCAAAAGAGGCTAGTCAAACTATTTTGTCTACTGCGCTTATTTACATAAAAGATAATAAAGATAACTATGTAAAGTGCAGAGCGTTGTTAGACAGTGGCTCTCAAATGAATTTTATTTCTAGTGAGTTGGTAAGAAAACTAAAATTAAAGACAAATACAATAGATATACCTATTTCAGGAGTTAATCAAATGCTTACCAAAATCGACAGTCAAACAGAATCTATTATCAAATCATGTTATAATAACTTTACAGCAACTCTGTCTTTTCTGGTTCTAAAAAATATCACATATAATATTCCGGTACAATCTTTTGAGGCGTCAGCTATAAATATA